TTTATCGAAATTAAAGTCAAAATCCCTTCGGATTCGCATTTTACGAGAGGCGGGGGCATCAGGGGAAAATTGTTTTCTCCGTCTATGAAAATTGTTTTCAAAATTTAAAAATACGTTTTTAAATTCTCCGAAATTCTCCGGAAAATTTGAAATTGAAAAAAATTAAAAACACACACACACAATTGGCACCTCCTCCGGTTGCCTACCATTGCTTTTATCTCATTAAAGCATTATCAGCTCTGGGCAGGAGCCGTTTGGAGGTATCGCTGTGTGATTTGGGCGATGCTCTTCGCCATTTTCAATATATTCCGGTTGACAGATCAACACATTTCCCAGGAGAAATGCGACTGACCACAAAAATTGCTGCGAATTCGCAAAAATGTGATATTGTTGGAGTGTTGATACTGTTGCAGTTGTTAATGTTGATACTGTTGCAGTTGTTAATGTTGATACTGTTGCAGTGGAATGGTATGCTGCGACGCTTCCGCACTGCGATTCCGGTGGAGCACTGCAATTCATTCATCAGAAAATCAATGGACTCACGTCCCGTGAAGCAATCGTCAAAGTATCGAAGCTGGCATCGCCGGCTTCGATACTTTGATGATTGCTTCACGGGACGCGAGGGCATTGATTTTCCGATGAATGAATTGCCGAAACTGGTTTCAGATGAAAAGGAAATAACCAGGCTAGTTTATCTTGCAATTTATGAAATTTTCCGCATTTGAAATAGGGACTTTGAAACATTACTTCTTTGAAAATTCGTATTTTTTTTTTTTGATTTTTTATGCCTTTTGTGTTGTGTAACAGCAGTACAAAATGCATATTGTCACGCGGTTGTCTGTGTGTGTGTTTGTGTGTGTGTGTGCGTGTGTGTGTGTGTGTGTGTGTGCAGCAACTTGTCCACAACTTTCAACTCGGGAACCACAAAAGCTAGGAAGCTGAAAAAACCACAATTTGCGGTGCCACCCACGTGTGACCCTGCAAATTTAAATTCAGCTTCCCATTACCCGTGGGTAACAGGTATAGCCCCGTGAAAGTGTTTTACGGGTAAATTAATATCTCGGGAACCACGGAGTCTAGGGGGCGTTATTGCGTTATTAGCAGCGCGCTCCAGAATAGCCGGTGCGGTCATGCGTTATTTATTTTTTAAAATAGGGACTACTGAAACAAAAAATTGTTTCAGTTAGTTCAAAAAACAAAAAAAAAAATTCTTTGCTTTGTTTTTGTCTTTGTTTCTGCAGTCGTGGGGTGTCTTCGGTCTGCATTGTGCATTAATGCTGAGCATGTTTTAGGACAAATTGTTCGAAGCTTTTGGCCATTTACCTGGAAATGGGACTGTTCTACACTGTTCAATGTTCAAATGAGCCGTTCAAAGAATCTGAGCTGTACAGGTAACTTTCTCACACTGCTAGAAATTTCACCTTTACAGCATTAATTTTTGCATTTAATTTTTATTGAATTATTATTTTGATTTTTTGAATTTTGATTTGAATTTTTAATTTGATTTTTGATTTGAATTAATTTGAATTTGATTTGAATTTGAATT